TTCTTATAGTTCTAGAGACTAAAAAGTCCTGTCAAGGTCCTGGTACCTGGTAAAGGTCTTCATGCTGAATCATCTCATGATAGAAGGGAGAAAGGCAGGACAGCACATCCTAAAGCAAGAAGAGACGGAACTCGCTTTTAGAATAAGTGGTAATGAGTGGTGACAGTGATTTGTGAGGTTAGATTCCTCTTAACCTAATTATCTTTATAAAAATATTTTACTTTAAAAATTGTATGTATGCGTGTCTGTGTGTCAGTATGTATGTGTGAATGCAGGTGTCCACAGAGGCCAGAGGCATTGAATCCCCCTGGAACTATAGTATCAGGTAGTTGTCAACCACTTGTTGTAAGTGCTGAGACCCAAACTCGGGTCTTTTACAACAGCAGTATGTGTTCTTAACTCATGAGCCATGTCTCCAGCCTCCTAACCACCTATTATTAGATACCTCCCTACCCTGTTATACTGGAAGTCAAACCTGGGGAACATATTCCAGCCACAGCAGCTATCAAGCCATGCCAAGTCATACCTGTGTTTCCCATGCAGCATCAGCCCCAACTGCAGGACCACTATCTGCAATACCCACTCTTATCTGCTGCCTTATGTTTTGCCTCCAAACACTCTATTACATACATACAAGAAGCAGACAGACTTCACGAGCTACCTCTCCATATGGGTATACTTCCCTAAACAACTGCTCTCCTAGTTTCTGCCTCTTTCCCCATTTTTTTCGCATAGCACCTTTTTCATGAAAATCTTTGTCAATTTCTGATCCCATGACACAGCCAGGGCAGTGGCTGTTGCTCTAGGCTTGGTGGGCTAACTCCTACCAAAATGGCTTGCCTAGGCTCTGGAGGCTTGTGACAGGGTTACCACTTCCCTGAGCCCTGTTGACCTCTGGACATCAGCCCTCAAATTGCCTTGTTCAGTGGAGTTCTACACAGCATTTTCTTCGTGTTCTCTTAGTTCCATCCTGGTCCTTTCTCCTTATCTTTCTCCTCACCTTCTTAAATCCCAACTAGACCTGGTCTTCTTCTCTGCCCAGAAGACTCTGTGCCTCTGTTAAGTTCATTCCTCTCCAACAAGGACTTTTGGCTCTTCTATGATAGCCTGGTCTTGGCTTTGCCATTGCTCTACAACCCCTTTTCCATACCCTGCAATCAAGCTAACATCAACTATAACCACTTACCACTCTGGATGTTCCAACCTCTGTTCCAGGAATGACTTTCTTTACCCCCAGAAGAGACCAATTTGAATTGAGCAGAACATCGAAAACCAAGTCCTCACTCAAGCTGTGCCACTCCAGAATTTTGTCTGTAGCTAGAAGCTTCTAGCCAACTTTGCCAGCATTAACACCGATCTTGGGTTATCTTCCTTCACAAATAGGTTCTTAGAAGGAAGCTGCTGTGTGCATTGAGAAGGGAGAAGGAAACATAGGTCTTAGATTTAAGTTACTTATCTTTAATACCAGTTTTCACAGATGGAAGGCAGATATCAGCACTTCCTCATACAACTGTTATAAAAATTAGACATGATGACCAGTAAGCCTTAGGCATACAAAGGTGTTCTTCGAGTTTTCTGTTCTATCAGGTTCAAATTAGTCACTTTTATTGGCGCTGCCTGTGGTAACAGAACATGTGCTCTTCATTTTTTCTTTCTTTCTTGACAGAAGTAGATTATAAATGCAAAAATTTTAAAAATTTTACTTTTAGTCGCACTTTTTCTTGAGTGAGACAGAGAAAGGTGTGGCATAAATGACTTTCCTTGAAATGAAGAAGGGAGGGAAGAGAAATGACAGGAAGAAAGGGAAAAAGAAAGACGTGAAACTGTAGAGGGACTGGTAGGGAATGAGAAAGGAGATGGAGGTCAGCTTTTCTCAAAACACAGAAGTGCTTCCACAGTTCTGTATTTATAAAGCCCAGTTCCTATAGACTTCATAAATGCTATTAATGGGGACAGCATGCAATGAAATGTGTGTTTCCCATTGGTTCTCCACTCCTCCTACTACGCTCTGAAGTGACCAGATCACCTGGGTCTGTAGGTGGGCCTCGAGCAACTGCCTGCCTGTTTTCTTAACATGCCTTGGCCCTGAGTTGTGAACTTTGGCTCAGAAGGTCTGATGTGCAGCGATGTGCCAAAGAGCCTCATAACTTAGTGCTGGGCACAAACTTCACTGAAGAAGGCTATGAGCCAAACTGGCCTTGGTTCTGCAGAAAGGAACGATCCTAAGTAACCACAGAGAAAGGAAGTGGGGTGGTTCTTCTCTGATCATGCAAGTGAGGTTGGCTAAGATGGGCCATTTTCTAAGCCTCTCACAATGGAAATAACAACTGTAAATGTGAGAAAAGTACCCCAGGCCCTAAATTCTACAAAACACTACACTGTTCTTTTTTTGGTTTCTGTTTTTGTGTGTTTTAGATTTTCTCCTGAAGAAGCCTGAGTTATGTTTAAGCTGCCGCAAAGCTTGGCTCCGCATCATTATGCTAAAAATTTCTAAGACCGTCAGAATGCATTAATCCCAGCGAGCTGGATCTTCGTCATATATTCATTCCTAGTGTTTTGGCAAAGTAGCCCTATGTCATTGGCTTAATTGGTGGCAGGGTTATTTTCCAGTTGTCAAATAATCTTTTCCTATTTGAGAGTCAGAAATAGAAACATTCACTCAAAGAAATCAAATGACTTGGAACACAACAATATAAGTATTTATTTGAAAATCATTTTCCATTTCAGTAAAATCGCAAATCAGCTATAGCAGTTTCTCACTACTAATTTTAATTTGCACTCACAGTCACTTTTATCCACCATAGTTAATGATATGGCTACAGAAAACTATTTCACAATTTTTCTAGAAAAATATGTACAATCTCTCTAATAGGAAGTTAATTAAAACAATAAATCTAGGCAATGAAAGCGAAGATATGAAACAAACTGACATGAACACAAATAAATAAATATGTACAGAAGAGACTATGCCAACAATCTTTACAATGCAAGAAACAGTGACAAATCTGGGGACTATTTCAGGATTCTGAACCACAACTCAACATAATGCAGTTAAAAGAGAGAGTTGGGGAGTGAATAACCAGAGTCTGAATTAACATTGTTTTAAAGATGGGTGTAGGCTGAATTGTGGCTCCCCTGTTGGATTCCTGCCCCACTCTTCCAAGGGGCAAATGGAGGCGAGAGCTGCATATTTAGAACTGAAGGTAGAATTTGACTTAGTCTTGTAAATCCACTTACAAATGTTTCTAGTCAGCTGCGTCTTCATTTTTCCTTTCCTAGTTATTGGAGATTTTTAAAGTGGAGCTGACATTGTTGCCAAATATGAAAATAAAAGATTTGTGTAGATCTGGGTTCTTATGAATAGAAATCCAAATCAAAGCCACTTTTGAAGCAATGTCATAATTACTATCAACTAAATATGCACTTTGCACAGATATCTCATGGTAGAAAGCTAATTAAAATCTACTATGAATGCCTAATTTGGGGGAGAAGTGTATAAATACTCAGTGACTATTGGTGATTAAGTTTTACTTATATATAACTTCTGGCACAATAAGCTAATACAAGCCCTAAAAAGAGGATCTGGGTCTAGTGAAGCGAAGCGTCTGTCCCTTTATCCTAACTATCCCCTCCTCCATGAAAACCAAGCTGGGCAAAGCTCATGGACCCCTGGGTGGCAGTCCAGGCTGCTACAAAGCAGAATAGCAATAATGATCCACTGCCACATTCTATCAACATCTTTTTGCAGTCTGGAAAATGAGAGGCCCCTTCAGTTGTTGCACAGCCTGTGAGTGTGAGACCTTCTGTATCTCATGCTGAGAATGGCCCACTTTCTGCACAGAGGACCATGCCCCAGGCTCAGTGCTGGTCTCTGCCTTCCAGTAAACTGGCTCTGCCTCAATCTCTCCTTTTGTCATCACCATGATGTTGCTTCACCAAACCTGATAGTTCCCTGAGAACCCAAAACAAGGGTAAAGCACAGCATGCACCAAGGTCAGTAGATAAGGACTCCATCATTCGAGAACAATTAGAGGTGGTGTCCTACACCCTCATTACCAAACATGCATTGTTTAGGAAAGTTTAGGAGTTACGTAAGCTGTTTAAGATTTTGAATGACTTGTATGCAGCGGCCTGATCCATAAATACTACATCGTGTCTCCTGCCAGCCCCCTTAGGCTCTTATACACTGTATTTGGAGGATGCAGTGCAAATAGTTTTTAGACTAGCAGTGGTAGAGCCACAAACATATAAATTATTTAGATTTACTAAGACAACCATATGTTTCAGTGTATACTTCTTGCAAAAAAATTCCTAATAGTGGAAGTCAGAGGTCTTTGCAGTTTGTGTAATTTGAAATGTCTTAAAATCATCAAAGCAAGGGTAGGACTGGAGCCTCAAAAGTACTCCTCCTAATGGTGAAATGTATTGCACATGGTGTGCCTGATAAAACTGCCTTCCTCTCATGGGCCTGTGGGTCCAACATACAGGGAAGGAAGGAGAGGAAGGTGCAACAGATTTGTTCTCAAATGACCACTAGGAGGCCTACGTTAATGGAGTGTCCACACTCAACTTAATTCAAGTACATGGGATGCTGGTGATGCTTAAGCTTTATATCTTTTTTAAAAAAATATTTTATTTATTATTTTTATTTTATGCATACTTGTGTATTGCCTGCATGTGAGTGCACCCATGTGGTGCAATGCTGCGGAGGTCAGAACAGGGCTTCAATTTCCCCTGGAACTGGAGTTAAGGACGGTTCATAGCCATCATGTGGGTGCTGGGAATAGAACCTGGGTCCTCTGCAAGAGCAGTCAGTGCTCTTAACCGCTGAGCCATCTCTCCAGCCCCAAGCTTTATATCTTGAAATATAAATTTACATAATACATTAATAGACCTATAATTTTTGAATATTTTTAGCAACTTAAGGTCGTGGTCATGAAGGTAAAATATTTGTCATAATAACATGTTTAATATTTGGGTCAAATAATAAATAACATTCATTTCTATTTAAGGCTGAAATTTAATTGAAAATGAAAATACTGTTATAGGCATAGAAAATAGCACTAGAATAGAACCTGTGGGCATTTAGAATAGTCACAAATATTAATTAGTATGTTTTATGTACTACCATTATCAAAATCATGCCCCATCCACACCAACTGTGAGGCGTGATAGAGGAGATCTAAATTATGGTTTGACCTTGATTTTGTTCCTCCTTTGTCCTCTAATTTCAGCGTCTCCTCCCCAGCCTTGGAGTTCTGGTGAGTCTGATTCAATTACACATTCTAAACAGTTCTGTCTCCTCTGACTACTGAGCGCTCAGAGTTCTCAGGACTGGAGCTGTGTGGATGACTGGAACTCCTGACGGAAGAAATACACTGGAAAGATGAATTCCTCATTTCACCAAAGCTTTCACAACAAACTCGGAACAGCACATTTACTTCTACTGTCGCTGCTCTCGCTGCTTGAAGAGTTTCACATTTCTCGTTTCTCATATTAATGGCATTAAAACTTTGTGCTGTGGCTGAAGGTGTCTGACAGGATAATATTTTTATAGAAGTTATCTGAGTGAGCATTACAATAACCCTTGACCTTATCAATAACCTGATGGACAGGGATGATTGATGTTTGCTCTCCACCAGCATGGGTCAATTTTGGCAAGGATTTGTCCACAGAGGCACTGTCTGTAAGAAATGATAAAGACATTAGGTTGCAGGATGAGCTGGCAAGATGCCTTAGGGCCACTCTATTGTACTCTGAACTCTATTTTGCACATTCAAGAAGTTCACAAACGGAATGAAGCTCTTGATTCTTTGATAGGTTAGATAACAGGAGGCATCCAAATATCATATTTTCACCTTCAAAGTGGGTATTTCTAACATCCACTGAATGGAAGTTTGCCCTCCAATAATTTGTATTGTGATTTGCTTTGAGAAAATATTCTTGCAAATGACATTTTTCAGTGTTAATGAATAATACAACAAAAATCACTTCAAAATGTATGTATTGAATGTTTCAAAAAGAAGAAATTAGGCAAAATCTTAAAATGTGTTCAGATATTTGTGGAAGAAATGATATATAAAAGATGTGCTTTCCGAATAATATGAGGTAGAAAAAAAATGCGTGTATAGCTGGTTCTGAGCCTACAAGCACAAGGAGACTCACTACACTCACTACACTTACTACACTGTACTTTCTATGTATGTTTTACACTGTCATAAAATTTTGATAAAACTTAATTTAAATAATTTTAGAGAGTAAAAGTTAATCAAACAATCCTGGAAGTCTACTTTGAATGCATTTCCTAATCCTCTTTAGCATGTGAAATGGATGGAAGAGAGCAAAAGCATCATGTTTTATGAATTATGAAAAGGTTCTCTACCAGAAATATTTGAAAATCAATAGTGTCAGAGCAATTAATAGTAAGAAAGGACCACTAAATAATTTAGGGTCTGAAGTTTTCAGCAGCAGGCATGTAAATGCCATTTCCTCCTAGATCCAGAAGTTCTCTAAACCTGGCTCAGGTGGGGTTCTGTTATCTAGAAACACATGTGGCAATCTTTGTGTATTCTATGAAGATCATTAGAACCTATCTTCCACCTCCTAATACACTTGGAAAAAATTTTTACCCTCAGATTAGCCAAATCAGAGAGATTTAGGATGACGACGAAGGACAAAGTGTGACTTCCAGTGTTCTGTAATCTTACCTCCTCCATGCATTGTGTGTGAGAGAAAAATGCTATCCCAAGACATTGCTTTCAGGAACCATAGCTCCAAAATTGTGTATTTACCTCAAGTGTTTTATGTTTTGGGTACACTGGACCCAGTGTGTGAAATGACCTGTGAGATTCATCAATGGCTGGTCAAAGTCAATGTCAGCATCATGGCATCCTGCTGGCTAAGGAAGCTATTCACCTTAGTTACAGCAGACACCTTGTGTTACAGCAGACACTAAATCAAAAGAAAGCTAAAGTAGGAAATAGCTGTATTGCTTCACATTAAAGGAAACCTGGGGGAGAAAGGATGGTTCACGGGAGGATTTGCAGATGGAATGGCAGAAAGACTGAAGCATATCCCAGCTGATGAGGTAAGCTTGAGAATCACAGTCCAAGGTCCCGCCCACGAGGCTCTCAGCAAGCTGGTTGATTCTGTGCTTCCTTCAAGTTCATAAATTCACTAGCCACTGGTTTTCTGCTGAGGGTTTTCATACTGATTTAAATCTCAATAATGAATAATTTGTGCTTGATGTTTTTAGCAAATCACAGACCCTCAGAAAAATGGTGAGACTCTTTTCTTTTGGCTTCCTGGACAACTTCTAGGGATATATGTCTTTTTTGAGACAGGGTCTCCCAATAGCCCCAGCTGGCTTGGAGCTCACTATGTAGACCAGGCTGGCCACGAACTCACAGATATCCGCCTGCCTCTGCCTCCCAAGTGCTGGGACGAAAGGTGTGCAGCACCACGCCCAACATAGGGGCATGTATTTTTAAACAATGACCAGCTCCAGTCCACAGATACGATCCTATTTATCAGGTCTTCATGTTTTCATAAAATAAAACTCCAAACAAAGAACATACATATGTATACATGTGTGTGTGTATATATGTAATATAAACAATATATCATAGATATATACTATTCCAAGTCTTTTGTATGAAAATCATGAGTAACAAAAATTTAGATTATTGCCGTGCATCTGAAAACCAGGGGTTAGAGAAATGAACTATTATTTGACATATGTTGAAATTTCAAGCAGATAAAAATCTTCACAAAGCAGCTTGCAACTGACAATTTCTCATTTATGACTTCTATGAATGTACCATGACATACCCAGTAATCCAAAAGAGTGGTAAAAGCAAAAATGTCACATTAGCACATAACAAATATTCTCTGAAATACTTATTTTTTTCATCATTTTACATGATATGTGACCCACTCATTCTGAGCATGGTACATTTCCTAGAAGGTGTGGCTTGCATACCCCATGCAGAGAAGAGCTGCACAGCCCACTGTCAGAAATTTCAGAGATTCCAGCTCAGTGCAGGAGCATCATTGTGCTAGCTGAGAAGTACCATAAAGAATAAGTCATTTTGCTGGTGCGGCAAGAACCTTAGCGTAATCCATGCACAGACTCTCATTACCTTGCAGAAATTCATGCATTCAAAAAAAAAGCAGCACGTTTACCTGAACGATCCACTTTTGCTGAAGGAATGCTCTTAGGAGAAATTATCTATACCATAAACACATGAATGTCTAGATCAATTCCAAGAAATAAATCAACCAGGTCTCTATGAGGTGACGCATGAGTTTCTGCATATCCCAAGTGATCCTCAGTATACCTTTGTCCCACCAAGTACTGACAAGGATTTAAACTTACATAAGGTTCATTTGCAATTGACATCTTTGCACTTGAACAATTACAGACAATTCACACGCCTTACTCCTTCTTAGTAAAAGTCAAATATGTTAGTCTTTTCTATGTCATTCATCTCCACTAATGTGTAATAACTAAATAGATCAATAAATAAAAATTTATTTCCGTTATGTTCTTAGATATATCTTTAGAAAAGTAGTGTTGAGTCTATAATTGTCTGCCAAGGTTTTAATTAGTAGTTAGAAGTAGAAATCCTATTATTTCCCTTTGAAATTATTAAAAAGTTACACCTTTCACACTACTCACTATCAAGTACTGCAAAGCATTCTTTATTTCCAAACTGTCATCAGGATTATTTGGACAAGCTTAGCGTCCAAGCATGTGGTCATTAGACTGTGATGAACAAACAGGACACAAACAAAGGCATTGTTTATTATAGTCCTTTTGACTTTCTGAAGAAGGTGTTCTCTACTCTTTCATATTTTGTCAGTGAGTTGGGGAGTGGTTGCCAATGACTGCTCCCTGGGACTTCTGATGGTTAAGGAATTAAACAGAATGTATATCCTAGGTGGTGCTTCTTCCTTAACCATACCAACTTGCCAGGCAGCTTTCATACCAGCCTAAAATGTCTTGCAATTCAACGTCTACATTTTAAAATAAAAGTCTCACTTTAAAATAAAATACAAAAGAGGGGGCAGAAAGATTGTGAGAGCCAGAGACGGTGAATGACTACAACAAAATGGTGTTTTCCAGAAACAACAGGGCAGTTACACATAGAAACTCACAGCATTTGTGACAGCCTATGTAAGACCTGCAAAAACTCAAGCAAGACAAAAATCTGATCATGGTGGGATGGGCATGAAGTCCCAGCAGAAGCTGAGGAGCTAATGGCTATCAGCTGCTGAGAAAAGGAGAGTCAGTTTTCTTTAAGGGTGTGACCTCAGATAGGTCAACCACTCTTCAGGGGATGGACCCACATCCAAGAATACTTAAGCAGCACAAATTGGACTCGATGGGCATTTTTTATAAAGAAGAAATAAATTTGAGCATAGGAAGATGGTGTTGGATCTGAAAAAAAAGATGGCAAGTACAAGTGATGTAAAAATTGTATGGAATTATCAAAGAATTAATAAAAATAATATTTTTAAAAATCAAGTAAAATATCATAGTTTTAAAAAGAAAAGTGTCTCAAACCAAACTTTTAAGTTATAATAATACTCAGTGACACTATAGCTATGTAGACTTAGTTGTGTTATAAATTGTCTTAAAGAATAAAACTTACAAAGCTACTAGTATTGTCTTCAGGTAGATAAATCTAAAATAAGCCTTCTAGCAAGCTCTGGAATCCATCAGTCTTCCTGTTAAGTCAACTCCGTAGTAAAAGCTGCACCAGAATGGCTTACCTGAGTGGCTATTCCTTTTGAAATAGGTGGTAGAGCTGGATTTAGATTTGGATGTGAGATAGGTTGAGTTGGACCCAATAGAACTTGAAGACAAAGATTTTCCTAGGTTATCAGAACCCTTCTTGATGATATTGGTAGCTGTCTTACTCCAATCTGAAAAACAAATGAGACCATTTTATCAATCACTTTATAGAGAATGTGCTCTTCCCTGAAAAACCCATCACTGTATCATTTTATCTACCCTGAATATCTGGTTTCCTGATATGCTCAAAGACTCACAGAAGATACTGACATGCAAACAATCAGAAGCAGAAGACAGAGAAGCCTCTTACTTTGACCCTGTGTATGTTATTTAATATTCTTGATCAACATCCTAAGGGTGAAAAGCACTTGTAACTTTTTCCTTCAAATGTTATTTAAGTTTAGAAAAATCTCTTCACCTCAAAGATGTTACTGAGAATCCAGTTTGTGGCAAGTGGATCTGGTGTAGTGAGATTTGCAGATAGGAGTTGCCAAATCAGACATCAAACCTGAGCAACTCTTAACCTGCCTGTAGTTTGTCCTTCACTTCTACAGTGTATAAGGACGGACTCCAATGCTCTCAGACCTCTCCCAGTCCTAATATTCTAAGATTCCAACTACACATCTTCACATGCTCCATTTCTACAGAGCTTTCGTTGGGGCGAGCTGCTCTGATGACGTAAGGGGAAATGTCACTGGTTTCAACTGTCTTCACATGCAGCCCACTTAAACCCATGTCTTTACCTGAGTTGTCTGCTAACCGGAATCTACCACAGCAGAGATGGCGTCTCCACTGTTTCTGCACGTTCTCCTTCATGGCACAGTGAAAGATAAATATGAATAAACCTGTGACAAAAAGAAAATGTATTTAAGATGAATGACATATTTTGAAAGATAAATCTTATTGTATGAATTTAACCTAAGATTTTATATCTAACTCACAAAGATCTTAAGGAACAGAATCTTGGTGTATGCCGCAGGTATTTTAATCTTCAAGAGAACACAAGGACTCAACTAACATCAGATTAAGAGACTGGACCTGACTTTGTTTTTGCCTGTTCTGTTCAGTCTTATGACTTAACTTACAATCCAAGCTGAAATAAGAAATGTTCAGTTAAGCAGTAGTTAATATGTCTCTGACTTTTGACTTAAAATTTCCATAAAATTAAAGAAAGGGAGAGAACTGAAAATACCCATACGTTCATCCTCTGCTTCAGTTTGTACATTCTAAGCTATTTTACATATATTTGAAATTATAGCTGTAACAGTATGTTAGATTGGATCATAGAAAAGTGGTATTTTTGCAGGTCAAACATGGCCACAGAGCAACAGAGTCACATGTCCACCTGGCCTACTTTAATTTCTCAGCATTTTAAGGTGGAAATATTTCCATACAGGGAAAATTCTTCATAATTATAGATTCCTTGCTCCCATCAAAAGCTAATTGTGTCACTTTTAAGGAATTTGCTTTTGAATTTTAACCTCCTCTTTGTGACTTTATCAATCTCTGCTTCTACTTGTCTATATTGGTTATTTCTATTATCTGCTAAACATATTCTTATAACTCCATTAAAAAATAAAGTCGGGGGCTGGAGAGATGGCTCAGTGGTTAAGAGCATTGACTGCTCTTGCAGAGGACCCAGGTTCGATTCCCAGCACCCACATGGCAGCTATGAACCATCCTTAACTCCAGTTCCAGGGGAATCCGAAGCCCTCTCCTGACCTCCGTGGCATTGCATGACATGGGTGCACTCACATACATGTAGGCAATACACTCATACACATAAAATAAAAATAAAATATTAAAAAAGAATTGCTTAAAAAAATAAAATTGTTCTATTGATTTTCAACTTTCAGTTAAAACTTCTTAAAATGGTTAATGTTTGCTGTCTCCACTTCTTTGACATTGTCTGCCCTGAACTCTCCTAAAAGGCACCTTGCTTGTACCCATGACCCTAGAACAACTTTAGGAAGGGTCATAGTGACTCCCAGACTGCAAACTCCATTTATCACGGCCACTTCACACGCCTCTCAGCATTTGACACAACAAAATATTCTTTTTCTTTTCTTTCTTTTGTTTTTGCAAAAAAAACCCCTATTTTTGACAATCTTACTCTGTAAGCTACGCTGACTCTACCACATCGCTCAAACTTATGAAAATTCTCTTGTCTCAACTTCCCATGTGCTTAGATCGCAAGGTGGTGAGCTACCAAGACTTTCATTCCTTCATTCCTGATGGCAGTGTCTCTTAGATTTCTTTCTAATTTTTAAGGGATTTCTTCTTGGTCTTAGCAGACTTCTTTTTTTATTTTAAAGATTTTATTTATTTTTGTTTTATGTATATGTATATGAGTGTTTGCCTCCATGTATATAAGTGTACCCATGCATGCGATCAGTACTAAGGCTCTACTGAGGCCAGAAGAAGGCACCAGATCCTTCAGAACTAGAGTTAAGAACAAGTGTTAGCTGCCATGTGGGTGCTGAGAACCGAACCCAAGTCCTCTGCAAGAACAGCCAGTGCTCTTAACTGCTAAACCCTCTCTCCAGTTCCCAAAGATTTATTTTTACATGTATGTATGTGTGCCTGCATATCTACATGTGCACCATGTGCATACATCTTCCTGCAGAGGCCAGAAGGTGGCATCAGATCCCCTGGCCCTGACCTCATGGAAACAACTGGCTGATTTTCCTCTGTACTTAGCTGCCCTGTGTCTATCAGGGAGCCCTGAGCAATGCCTGATATGAGGAAGTGATGGCTGGAATTCATATTCAAATTAGTAAAGAATAATTGCCTAATGCCATTATGAAAGGACTGATTGTGTTTTTGTCACTAATTTCAAGATGGAGGAATAACCTATTAAAAACTGCTAGGAAATTCTAGGAATTCTAGCTTAAAGCTTTATTACTCGTTTATTTATGTGTGTAGGTGGATGCATATGTGGAGGTCAGAAGACAACTCGTGTATAAGTCAATTCTCTCCTTCCACCATGTGGATCCTAGGGATTGAACTCAGGCCATCAGGTTCAGCTGAGTGCCTTTACCCACTGCTGCATCTCACTAGCTCCAAACATATTCATTTTTGAAAGGTGTAAAAAAAAAGCATTTTCAAGACATCAGTAAAATAAGATTATTATATTTATTATTACTAGTGTATAATTTTTGGGTTAGTTATATAAGTGTATATTATTTCATTAGTATATAATTTATTACTAGTGTGTTAGTAGATGGGAGTAGTAGCATTTCTTTGTCTGAAATGTTATATCTGATAGGTTAAAGAAGTTCTAAATCAAGCTGGTGTTGACCTGGAAGCTTTAGCCATACTGGCTAGCTCTCATAGTGTTGGAAGTGGCAAAGCATTCTATTGAGGGAGAAAAGCAATCATCAGTCTTACTCAGTTGTATGCCCTGCTAGCTACTTGGCAAAATATGCCCTTTGGTATAATAATGGCGTGAATGTTATGAGAGTAACCAGCTTCTTTCTCCTTGGATTTAAGGACTGCTCCACAAAACAAAACCTATGCCTGGTACTGAAATGAGGTCAAGAATCTATGGCTGGCTAGGCCTTAGTGGAGAACCTATTACTATTACTCTGCTAAACAGACATAATATTAATCTGACTTCTAAAGACTTTTAGTTATATCCATAGGCTAGTGCATCTCTCAGTTCTCATCAGAGAAATTTCTTTTTGCAATTGATTAACAGAGACCTACAGCTGGCCAATGCACAGAGACTAAGAAACTGTGGAGTACTCAGCTTTAAATATCGTGTGTGTGTGTGTGTATGTGTGTGTGTATGTATGTGTGTGTGATACCTCTTCCTCCCAAAGCTCAGGAATTAGTGCACTAGAGGAGGCAAAATGATTATAAGAACCAGAAGTGATGGATGTATGAATAAAAGGAAACTGTTGTCTGGACACAACAGGGTAGTTGCATATATTATATGAATTCATATCAGCTATGACTGCATGCACAAGACCTGTACATGCTCAAGCCAGACAAAATCCCAGCATGGAAGAGGAAGGTGGTCACAAAGTTCCATCCCTAGCTGAGGAACTATTGGAAATTGATCACTGCTGGGAGAAGAGTCAGTTTTCTTCCGGGATGCATCCCCTGAGGCTACTCATGCTCCAGTAGATGGCTCTACACCCATGTACATACTGGCAGCACTAAGTAGACTCAATGGGTTTTAATAAAAGGACACATGAGATTGGGAAGGAAAAGTGGTTTGTGGGGATATGGGAGGAATTGGGGGGTGAGGCAATGGAGTATGGACTTGATCAGAATACACATATTAAATTCTATGTTTTATATATAATTCTCAAAAATTTTTTAAAAGTTCTAATTCAACAAAAAGATAGTTCTAATAATCATGAAATTTTAGTTCTTCAGAAAGTATGCACATACACAAATATACACACAGACACCCTATGATTCCTGTGCTGAGAGCTGTGGGGCAGGCTGAGGAGTAGGATGCCTGCTGCACATTGATCTGATCTGTTGATGGTGTGAGAGGTCTCAGAGCAAGGATGGACTGAGAAACAGTACCTCAGGGTTGGTTTGCCTTCCCAGGACCAGAACTTATCTCTGGATTCCAAATGACTGAATCACATTGTTATGCAAAGTTTTCCCATGCCTACCAAGTCCAGTTTGCTTTCATAGGAAATTCTTCTAATAAGCAAACACACACACACCACAAATAGTGTGAAAAACATAAGTGGTAAGTAAATCCAACTGCTTACTAGGCACTTTTAAGTTGCAAGGAGTTGGTAGAGTTTCAGAGTACAAAGACTGGAAGGCACTGAGGCCTGAGGTGAGGTGCAGAGGCTTAGACAAAGAAGGCTGTGTTTTTAGGGTGCCTCTTAAAATGGGTTCACTCTATTTCCCTTTAACTGGGTCACCATTGTCTGAATTTGTTCTTTGAGGTATTTTTGTTACAAAACTGGAAATATAGGTAACTTGGTGTTCCTACACCACTGTGTGATACAAGCATATGTGGGAGTTGGAAGATTCAATGTTCATTTAAGGATGTTCATTCCTAAGCATCAACCCAATTGCCTAACATTAAACAAATGATTTTTTTTTTGAGTTGAGAGCAGGAAGTGAAATTTGCTAGACATTGTTTTCCCTCATACACTTGCACATTATTTTACATCACTTCATAGTTTTTTTAAAATATATATGTATATATATTATTTATTTTATGTGTATGAGTATATTGTCTGTATGTAGGTAAGTACACCCATGTCGTACAATGCCTGAGGAGGACAGAAGAAGCCGTCGGATCCCCTGGAACGGGAGTTACAGACAGTTGTTAGCTGCCATGTGGGTGTTGGGATTTGAACCCGGGTCTTCTGCAAGAACAAGCAGTGTTCTTAACCGCTGAGCCATCTCTCCAGCCCCACACTCTGCAGTTTTTATATATGTTATATGGATAGGAGAAAAGACATGTCTGGTATTTTGAGGATAATAGAAAAGAATTAGGTTACAGATTTGCCAAAGTTAAAATCATAAAACTTTAATAATTCTCTGTTAATACCGAACAGGATTGGCTTGAGTGTTCATCCTAATCTCTGCTCTCTATCATCTTTTTCCCCTTTGAGAATATTATTCTACTTAGGAAACATTCAGTCCCCCAGTTTTCTGGAAATTTTCATGCTGTGGCCTGGAGGGTGATCAGGAAGCTTGACTCCTCTTGGTACCTCCAAGTTTATGAATTGAAGAGTAAGGGATATTGCCCATGAAGGTTGTAAGCTAATTACAGCTAGAAAACTGACTTCAGAGTTAAAGCTTTGACTTCATCTTGATTGATTAGTGCTAACTTGATGATGCTTTCCTGTCTAACAACAAC